ATTAATCAAGAAAATTGAACAATCATCAATACATCAACAACAGCACACATACTTAAAAAGCAAATACTGATCAATTGAAGGGAAAATTGATTACACTATAACAATAGTTGAAGTTATCAATACACCAGCATTAGAGAATCTGGAGTGAAGGCCAACAAGGACACAGGACCAAAATCTAGATCTCATCACCAGCAATGTCTACCCTGCTCGACATGCTCTTCTGAGCCCAGTCCGATTTCTGGAAGTTGCTTGTGAATGTATTGAGTGGGTGATGGACATGATGGCACTCATTGACAATCCCATCAACCATATTGAAGCATCATTGATTTTCCTGGTTTTTTTTTTTTTTTTAATCATTTTATTGGGAGCTCTGACAGATACTAAAAACAATCCATAATTCAATTAGATCGAGCCTAATTGTACAATTACTGTCACCATCATTTTCAAAACATTTTCTTTCTTCTTGAACTCTTTGTCCCCTTTATTGCCCCCCCCCAACCCCAGGAACCCTTATTTTTATATTATAGTCATTATTAATATTTGAAGTGTTTTTTACATTTATCATTGTATGCTTCAACTGTTTCTCAAGGGTTCAAACAAGAGCATGAAATATCAGCTTCTCCACAAATCCTCCTTGGAGTTCCATTGACTTCAGCTTTCATGCTTTAATGTGGGAATGATCAGGGGAAATCAGATGAAAAGTAGCTGTTCAGAGAATGGATTATAGAGTTCCTTTTATATATCTTATGGCTTTTGGTAGACTGCTATTGTTTTTGAAAGGAGTATGGCCTGCCAAAGGAGTACACAAGATGTCTTGGAAGAAGTAGACTAGAGGCAAGGGATGGCAGACTTCATCTCCTGCACTTTTGACAAGTTATCAGGAAACACCCGTGTGTGGAGGCCCTCATGCCTGGTACAAGGCAGGGGCACTTAAAAAGAGGAGGACCCATGACAACAGAGAGGGGCACAGTGGCTGTAGGCTGGGCTCCAGCCTAAGAGCAGTTGTGCGGATGGCACAGCACTGAGCAGTGTCTCGTTTGCTGTACGTTGGGCCGCTATGAGTTGGACCCGACTCGACGGCACCTCACGACAAGCACAGATGGGGACAGCGTGTGTGGCAGTGATCCATCAAATAAAGTGCTAACTTCAAAAATCTACCGCAAGCTACAAGACCTTAATAAGAAAACCGCAAATAAATAACCCAACCGAAAGTAGGCACAGGACACGAATAGACCATTTTCTAAAGATTACACCCAGGCGGCCGACAATCATATGAAGAAATGCTCGCGATCATTAGCTATAGGAGAAGCAGACATTAAAACGATGATGAGATCTCACCTCACACTGACACTCTTAGCAAAATGAAAAGCAAGACTGGCACGCTCGCGCATTGCTGGTGGGATCGCAGAACCGCGCAGCCACTATGGCAACAGCGCGACGGAAACCAATGTGGAGGCGAGTGCCATGTGACCCTGAAATCTCGCTCCTGGGGAGGTGCCCAAAGAAATCAAGAACAGAACCCGGAGAGACAGAGGCACGCCTGTGTTCATCGGAGCAATATCTGCAAGAGCAAAAAGATGGGAACCACCCAAAACCCTGTCGACGGAGGACTACACAAACAAACTCTGGTGCTACACACGAGGGAACTAGTAGGTGTCCCTGAAAAACAAGCCTGGTCCAACACCTCGTGACAGGGACAAAATTGGCAAACCTTGTGCTCAGCAAGGTTAGCCGATCACATAAAGCTTTCGTAATAACATTACTGTTAAGGGGGGAAATGGCTTTCATACCAAAAGAAAAGACTTTGAAGACTGTGATGAGGCTGGGGGTGGAGGGGGTGGAGGAAAAGGAGAGGGACAGGAAGGGACAGAGGGAGGACAGGTGGGGAGGGGGGCGGTGAAGAGAAGCGGAGCCTGACGCACAGGAGGTTCCCTGGTATCCCGCGCCTATTCTCAGGTGGTGGGCAGTGTACCGACGTATAGTACATGTTTTTCTTTGTCCGTTATAGTTCACCAATAAAAGGGGAAATACATTCAAAAGAAAAAATGGTAAGGAGAAGGGGGTCTGAGTGAAAAAGTACAACTGAAATGGACTTCAAGACTTTTCTTTTTAAATAGTTTTATTGGCCTATATCTCGCATATCATACAATTTAATTGTTCTGTCATATGAAGAAGAGTTGTGCAGTCATCCCCACAACCGACCCAGGGGATTTTCTTCTTGTCCTTGGGGATGTTAGCTCCAAGACTTCGGTTCTTTCATGACACACAAAATAGGTTTAAACAAACAAAACGAGAAACCTTGCTCTACTCAGTGAGTAGACTTCGTTTGACTTCTGATCAGAACAAACTAAGTGTAAAAGGACAATTTGAGGGGTAGGCAAGAACACTTGTAAAGACATCTTATTGGATAGTGTTAAGGAATTATTGGGTCAGATGTGAAAATCTGTATGCGGGAAAATGTGATTTTTTTTTTTTTTTAGAGATAAATATAGAGGCATGTAAGAGTGAAATATCGGGGGAGCAGGGAGGGAGGGGAAAAATGAGGACCTGATGCTGGGGGCTTAAGTGGAGAACAAATGTTTTGAGAATGATGAGGGCAATGAATGTACAAATGTGCTTTACACAACTGGTGTATGTATGGATTGTGATGAGTTGTATGAGCCCCTAATAAAACGATTTTTTTTAAAGAGTGAGATATCATGGTTTCTGGGATTTATTTTAAAATACTTCGACAGAGAAAACTCCATGGAGCAATTTTGACCAAACGTTAACAATAAAGATATAGGCAATGAGTATCTGAGGTTTGGACAATACTCTCTTCTAACTTTGTGATTGAACTTCATAAAATAATCATAATTATTTTTAAAGAATATTAATAATATTCTCAATAGCCTTAATAAAAAGAAAATATAAACAACTATCTGTTGTTTGCCATTCAGAAAGAGGCACAGCGCGATCTATGTTATCACAGCCGAGACTCAGGATCTGGCAAGGCAGATCTGGCAAGATCTTCCCCTGGAGAGTCATTCAGAGCCTTCCTGACTTTGAAACCACAACAGCGAGACAATTCACTGTCTTACTTTGTTTTGTTTTGACCAGAAAAACCCATCCACCAGACAGATGACATCAGACCACTGAAAGCCTGTAAAATAAATCAGATAGACATTGCTATTCCCTTTCTGGGTTTGTCCGTTTCATCTGTTTCCAATTCATGGGCATAGAATTGTTCACAGTCTGAATTATCCTTTTAATGGCTGCAGGATCCGTAGCGATATTTCCTCTCTCCTACTTGATAGTCATCAGTGCGCTATTCCTGTCCTGACCCAGGTAAGTAAACAGAAGTCAAAAAAGAGAAACAATTCAGGTCAAGGCTGCAGACACAGCAGGACTACCCTTATTTCTGTTGTACTGCCCTGCTCAATGAGCCCTGGTGGTGTAGTGGTTATGAGCTGGGCTGCTAACCACAAGGTCAGCAGTTCAAAACCACCCCCCACTCCTCAGGAGACAGATGGGACTTTCTACTCCTATCAAGAGCTACAGGCTTGGAAACCCACATGGGGCAGTTCTATCCTGCCTCATAGGGTCTCCATGAGATGGCAGTGAGTGTGTGTCCACCCTGCTCAGGCTAAACATTCTCTGTGAGGCTCCCTGACCCCAGATCACAGCTCTCACTGTTCTGTGTGGCTGGTCTGACATGTCAGAGCCCAACAGCAGAGGGCAGGTGATCCTTAGATCTTTGCCCTTGGCCATGCCTTCTCCAGTGAATCTTACTGGCCAGAACACTTTCTTGCCTTCTACCACCTTGCCTTCTGCTCCCCAGGTGCAAATACAGGTGGAGAGGGTAGAAAAACCAGGGAGAGGTTGGGGGTAGGTGGGAAATGGCGGCACAGATGGGGTACTTTCTAGAAGTTGTTGGAAGGAAGCAGTTTTGACATCTCCCGGGTCAGGGAAGGCATAGGTTTACTAGCAGTGACAATTTTCTCCACCTTAGTACCCTTTCCCTGTGAATTCCTTAAGGATCATAAATCCCTAGAAAAGTGGGGGAGCTGTTTGAGCCTGCCTCTAGTAGGCTCCAAAAATTCTCATCCTCCCCCTGCCCCCAATCTCTATGTCCAGGTGGTGGCGAAGGAAGTGAAAGGCAGACTTACTTAACTTCCTTTTTCACTTTAACCTCAATCGACCTCACCCCCTGGTGGCATAGTGGTGACGCATTGGGCTGCCATCCCCAAGGTCAGCAGTTGGGAACCCATAAGCCACCCCTCGGGAGACAGACAGGGCTTTCTACTCCCGTACAGAATTACAGTCTCCTCAGAAACCCAGCAGGGCAGTTCTACCCTGTCCTGTAGGGTCGCCATGAGTCGGCTTCAACTGGATGGCAATGAGTTTGGTTTGGGGTTTGGGCCTCACCCCTCAGTGCCATGCCATGATAAACACAAGATGGTGCCACTCGATTTTTCTCCTTTGCCCATCAGACCTGCTATTTGGGACTCAATGCCAAAATGTAGAGCTGTGCTCCATGCGAGTCAACTTCTCAGCCACTACGGTACAGCCCCCAATCCGCAAACGTGGTGATTCTAACATTTACTCTCTTCCCATTTTATCAATGATTCCTCTGTCAAGGTCAAATATATAGGTGCTTTCCTTCCCAGAGTCTTTGTGAGAGGAAAGGACGGGAGGGGGACAAGAACATACTCCTGGGCCTCAAAGACTCCATGGGTGAGCACCCTTGCCTTTCGGAAAGTTCTCCCACTCACAGGACAATCAATGTCTTTCTTTAGAACCAACGTTTGGGGAGAAGAGAGACATCCAAATCACTGTTGGAAATGAGAACCTCCTCTTTATTCCACACACATCGATATAGAAACTGGCTTGTCGAGCTTGGAGAGGGGAGGGAGCGGGACCTGGCCCTACCTCTGGGGAGGACGATTTAGTTTCTGGTGACCGGGCCTCTCACCAACTGGGAACCGAAGAGACCTGACAAACACCCAGTCGGTTCCAAATTAGAGGGTGGGAATCACAACAAGAGGCGACTCCTTGTCAAAGTAACTATCCACTTGAGGTAGGCTCTTCCAGGCCAGCTCCAAGAGCCCATACTGGGCAATGCCCGTGGGAAGGATGGTGCGCACGTTGTTCTGCCCAGGGACTGGCACCACCTCCTGGAACTGCACAGGACCTCTGGGAGTGTGAGAGCCCCCACAATACACACAGTACAACAACCGCTCCCCCGGAACTAGCTCCACGGCTGATGCTAGGGCCTCCTTGTAGATGACTGCTTGAGCTCTGGACTCCTCTCGTAGCAGAAGGTCCTGTAGCAGTTTCTGGATCCGGGAGGACTTCAGCTGGTACAGGTCCATGAGCTGGTTGAATTGCTCCATCCACGCGGTGCTGTCTTTTGCATATTGCTGCTGCAGCATCCGCAAAATGTGGTACAGGGCCACAAATGTCTCCCATTTAGGTACCTGTACCTCTTCCCTTTTTTTAGTGATGGGCTTCTTCAACTTGGGCAATTTTGGAAACCTGCTCTTACCCTTTGACGTCCAGAAATCCTTTCCAAATATCGATGGTTGGGTTTGTTTGTCCACAGGGGCCCAGGCAGGATAAAACTGTTGCCACTCCATCTCCCTGAGAGCACTGGACACCTGTTGTGCCTGCCTACTTCTACCGGGCCCTTCTAAAAAATGCCAAGCCATAGTTGTTGGCTCTGGGATCCTCTGGCTAGCTAATGGAGACTCTGGTGTGGGAACAGCCACAGGTTGAAGCCAGCCCTTTGCTACCTTTCCTCTTATAGGCGGTATCACTTTCAGATGTTTTTTGCCCACGATGTCCTCATGGGCTTTGGGGCTGCCGGAGCCTTGGGCTTCTAAGAGCTGTGTGTGCTGGTACACAATGGTTTGGAGTTTGGCCAGCTTCGTCCACTCAAAATTCCCCTTTGAGGTGAGGTCTCTGAGGACCTGGCCTAGCCGGTGGAAACTCCCCCTGGAAAGGTGCTCGCCTGCTTCTATCCGTTCTAAAACCCGGTGGAGCCAGTCCACCTCTAAGACAGTCACCTCTGAATCCTCCACGGTTTGGGGGGCGGGTAAGCGCACATCTGTCTCCTCCGGTAGAGGTCCATGCTGTTGCAAAAACCACTTCCACTTGGCACCTGGTGGCTTCGGTTGGTGTTTCTGAGCCTCCAGGGCCTTCACAATTATGTGGCGTGTACTTGGGGTCTTGGGGACTTGTTCTTGGGACTCCAAAATGTCATCCCAAACGTGTAGCGATAGGGGCTCAGGTTCCTCTAACAGTTCTTGCTGCTTGTCCCGAAACCTCTCAGAGACTATTCGGGGTGACTCCTTCCAGGGCATGTGTTTCGGCATCCCTGGCACTGGTTCTATCTCCTCCCTCCCCAGAGTGATGGAGCTAAGTATCTTGGAGGGGCTTTGCATTAGAAATCCCACTTGGGTAGCACTTCTGGTGAGCTCAGGGCTTCTTCTTAGGGTAGGGGCTCCCACTTGGGTAGCACTTCCAGTGAGCTCAGGGCTTCTTCTTAAGGTAGGGACTCCCACTTGGGTAGCACTTCCGGTGAGCTCAGGGCTTCTTCTTAAGGTAGGGGCTCCCACTTGGGTAGCACTGCCGGTGAGCTCAGGGCTTCTTCTTAGGGTAGGGGCTCCCACTTGGGTAGCACTGCCGGTGAGCTCAGGGCTTCTTCTTAGGGTAGGGGCTCCCACTTGGATAGCACTGCCCGTGACCTCAAGGGGTCTTCTTACGATCAAAGGAATTATTTCCCTTCCTCTTAGGTGTTGGTCTTTTCTGTCTTTGTGTGGCATAAATAGTTTCTTGGCAAAGATCTCTTTTTCCTTGACAAGTTCTTCTTCAGATGAGATGCTCTTCTTTTCCTCCTCCTCTTCCTCACTCGAACTCTCCTCTTCCTCCTCTGAACTTAAGCTTTCCACCTCCTTATCACTGGTGCCTTCTTCTTCCTTTTTCTCCTCCTCCTCCTCTTCTGCCTCTTTCTCTTCCTTCCTCTCCTCTTCCTCTTCCTCCCCCTCTTCCTCCTCAGACAAACTCTCATGGTCAACGTCATCTAACAGGCTTTCCATTTCTCTAGGAAATAGCTCTTCCATTTCCACCTCCTCCCCTTGAACGGGTAGCCCTTCCTGTGACTCGACTCCCTTTGACTGCCGTCTCATCCTCCACCGCGCTTTAAAGAATGAGAGCTCCTCCTCTTCCTCGGCTGCTTCCTCCTCTTCCTCGGCTGCTTCCTCCTCTTCATAGGGGACTTCTTTCTCTGCCTTGGACAGTCGGTTTTCTTTCTCAGTCATGCGTTCCTCTTCCTTTAACAATTTCCTCACTTTCTTGGCTAGTTTTCTCTGCTTCTGAGCCAGTCTTTGCTCGCGTTTGGTTATTTCTGACTGTTCCTCAGAAAAATCCCACTCTTTGCCCTCAAGTTTAGTCTGTTCGTTGCTTAACATCCTCTCCTTCACAACAAGGGCCCTCTTCATCTTGGTCAGCTTGATTTCTTCCTGGGTTACTTTTGTTTCTTCCTTGATTAGATCTTGCAGTGCCTTTAAGAGTCTCCTGCCCTTGGGAATGCCCTTCTTCTCCTTAATCAGTTTCCTGACTGCTCTGGCTAACTTCCTTTCTTCCTGGGCGTAGATTCTCTCCCCTCCAGCAAGTTCCAGTTCTCTTTTGGCAATGTCCTTGTCCTCCGTGGCCAATACCCTCTCTTCCACCATCAGTATCCTTTCCTCTAGAGACAGCTTCTTCTTAATGTCCTCTAGTTTAGCAGACAGCTTATCAAACGCTTGGGTGTATTTGGGGGTTCCTGGAGGCTCGCTCTGGAAGAGCGTTTCCTTTTCTTCAACTACTTTCTTGTCTTTGGCCACGCTCACGAGTTTCGTGTTCAATGCCATCTCCTCCTTCGCAAGAGTCTGCTCATCTTTGGATGGTTTCTTCTTTTGAAACAGGGCCCTCCTCTTCATAGTTAGTTTCATTTTTTCCTGGGCATGTTTCTCTTGTTCCTCTGCCAGCTTTTCCTCTGCTTGGGTCAGTTTCTCCTCTAGTTGAGTTACTGTCTCCTTCTTCCGGGCAACTGCCTCCTTTTGCTGAGCCAGCATCTCCTCCATCTGACTTGTTTTCTCCTTGTACTTGTCCACGTTCTCCATCAAGTCCACCAATCCTTCTTTGCGCTGCCTGGCTTTTTCTTGGTTCTCAAGGAGGCCCTCTATCTTCTGAGCCAAGTTGGTCTTCGCCTGGGCCAACCGCTCCTTTTCTTGAGCCAGGGCTGTCTCTTTCTGGGCTAGGATTGTCTTGTTCTGCAGGAGTCTCTCCTGGTCCCGGAGCAAATTCTCCTTTTCCCCAATCAGTTTCTCCCTTGCCTTAGTCAGTTTCTTACTTCTCTCGTACAGTCTCTTCCTTTCCTCGGGGGGCTTGGCTGCGTCCTGAGCCAGCATCCTCTCTTCCTGAGCCAGCAGCTCTTCCTCTTCGGCCAGCCTTCTCTCCTCCTCCTCCAGTTCTTCGTCCTGCCAGACCAGCCTCTTCTCCTCCTCAACCAGCTCCTCCTGATCCTTCGCCAGGTTCTTCTCCGCCTCATTCAGTTCATCTTCTTTCGCAGCCAGTTGATCGTCTGCTTGAGCTAGCTCCTCCAATTCGCAGGCCAATTCAGTTTCTTTCTCTGTCAGTTTGTCCTTCTTTGAGGCCAGTTTTTCCCCTTCCTGAGCCAGTCGCGTCTTGATTTCAGCCAGTTTCCCCACTTTGGTTGTGAGTTTCTCTTCTTCTCTGGCCAGTGCCTCCAATTTCTTGGCCGCTTTCTTCCTTTTCTGGGCCAACTGCTCTGCTTCCTGGGTTAGAGCCTCCTCTATTTGGGCCAGATGTTCCTCCTCCTGCGCAATTTCCTTCTCCATCTGACTCCTGGGACCCTGTTCCTCGGCCATTTTCCGGTATTCTCGGGCCAGTTTCATTTCCTCTTGGGCCAGTTTTCTCTCTTCTTGGGCCAGCTTCTCTTCTTCTCTGGCCAGTTTCTTCTTGGCACTGGCTCGTTTTTTTTCAGTGTGGGCTCGCTTCTTCTCTGCCCAGGCCTGTTTCTGTTCTTGTTGGAGATGGCTCTGCTCTTCTGGGAGGACCTCTGCTTCCCCCTCCTGAGGTGTTTTTTCTCCCGGGGCCGGCTCTTCCTGATGCTCAGGAAGTTGGTCCCTGGGGCTGGCGAATAAGATCTTTTCCACGATCTCTCCCCACTCGTTCCAATTTCGCTGACTCTTGTCCTCGTCCAGTGTCGCCTCTTCTTCAAAGATCTTCTCTTCCAGTCCATGTTGTTGACACCAGCTGTCCCAGTTTTTCCGCCACTCGTTCCAGGATATCTTTGTCTCATCTTGAAACTTTTTCCACTGGTCCCACGAGTCCTTCCACTCCTGCCAAGCCAGCCTCCTCTCGTCTATCACTGGCTTCTCTTCTAGGCTCTCTAGTTCTATCATTTCTTCCTCTCCCTCTCCCTCTTCCTCTCCCTCTCCCTCTTCCTCTCCCTCTTCCTCTCCCTCTCCCTCTTCCTCTCCTTCTCCCTCTTTCTTTTCCTCTCCCTCTTCCTCACTCATGCCCCTCTCTTCTTTGGCCATTTCCATCTGTTTTTTAACCAATTTTAGTTCCTGCTTGGTCAATTTCTTCTCTTTCTTCGACAACTTCTTGTGAGCTTTCTTCTCTTCTTTCCGTGGTAGTCGTTTTCCCTTTGTTAGATCAGTGGGCTCTGAAAATAGAACTCTACCCTTCTTGGCTTTGGGGGAAACCACCCGTGTTTCTTCCAACTCTTCCCTGTCCTCTTGCACTTGATCTTGCTCCTCTAACACCTCTTCTTCTACGATGTAGTCTCTGATTGCTTCCTCATGGATGAAAATTGGTTTTTCCTCTGGCCAGACTACATCCCAGTCAAGGTCTTCTGGCCAGTCTTCAACTGATTCAAGGTCCTGGCTTTTCTTCTTCAAGATTTCCTGGAAGAGCTCCCAGCTGGGTTGCCGATCTGCCAGCATCTCCTGAGCCATGGCTGCTACCTCCGCACTTAGAGCTTCTGACATTTTTGTTTCGGAACCAGATATCCTTAGAGCCACGAGACGACATAGGTCCTCCCTCCATGATAAGCTCTCTCCGGTAGCGCCCTTGTGGCCAGCGAGTCCAGCGGCACCTCGCCCATGGGCCCTAATCTTGCTCACAACCTTCTCTTCCTGCACAGGAGGCAGAGGCTCCTCAATGGCAACTTCCAGTTCCTTTTTCTTTGGCTTGTACTTCTTGGCGAGTTTTCGAGCTGTACTTTTCTTGCCTTTTTTTTCACGTATTTTCCTCAGCATCTTTAGGGTCAACACGACGTGATCCTTGGAAGGTTCTCTCTCTGCAGATTGCTCGGCATCTTTTGCAGCCTTGATCATACTTATGGAAGAAAGCTTGCTGGTGGTCTCCTCTGCCTCAGTTGGACCAGCTTCGCCCAGTTCGCTTTCACCTTCTTTCAAAGCTGACACTGAGGTTGCCTGTTTTGAAATTCTCTCTTCTTTCTTCTTGAGGCTCCGCAACAGCTTTCGTGCTGCCAGGAGAAGCAGGAAGTGGAGGTAAGGAAAGGAGGTTAGGAAAGCATCCACCACCACTGCCCTTGGGCTTATTTTGATTCCCAGTCACCCTAAAGGTCCCCTTTGGGTCTCTGAGACTGAACATCTTTGTGAGAGCAAGTAGCCTCCCGGTTATCCCTTGGAGTGACTTGTGGGCTTGGACCGATAACCGTGGGGCTCACTGTGCCAGCAGGGCCCCAAGGAAAGCAGGGGAGGTTCTAATGCTTCCCTTCATCCATGATGGGTGACACTACCGGGTCAGTCACTGGACTCACGGTTTCTTGCGGGGGAGGGGATATGGCAGGGGAGGTTGGTGGGAAATGGGGAGCTAGTAAAAGTCAGTTAGAAGAAAGGAGAAAATGTTCTAAGATTGATTATGGTGATGACTGCTTGATTCTTGATATGATTGAATTACTGGATTGTATGATATGTGAATTGTGTGCCAAGAAACTCCCTGCCATCGAGTCAATACAGACTCACAATGATGCTAAAGGACAGGGTCGAACCGCCCCTGTGAGTTTCCGGGACAGTTACTGTTCACGGGAGGAGAAAGTCTCCGTCTTTCTCCCATGGAGCTGCTGGTGGTTTTGAACTGCTGGCCTTGCGGATGGCAGCCTTACTTGTAACCACTACACCACCAGGGCTCCTCTCATGTGCTAAGAAAACTGTTTCAGTAAATAAGTAGACCAATGAATGAATGGATGGATGAAACTGTGATATAAGGTGTGACCTAACAAGAACTGCCTAACGTAGTAGCAAAACAGGCTCAGGAGGCCTAAAAAGAAGGTGTGAGACTTTCTCGCTTCATTCAAAGCCCTCCCAAGTCCAAGGGTATTATGGGTATTGTGGTCCATGGTGTGCTGTGCCTTGCGATCCACTGGGGTTTGGGTAAATCCTTCCTAGGAAGGATCCTTTCTGTGAACAAATGCTTCCACTGATCTCTATTTTCACCTAGATTATCTTTGGACCCACACGAGCCCTTAGCTCCTCTCTCTCTGGGGGCCCATAGAGTGTAAACCAGATCGCCCCACACATACTTTGCTTTTTGCCTCCTACTCGGCTCCGTTTGGGGCCTCTGCTGGCCTTCGTGGCCACTTCAGTGGCCTCAGGAGTGGATAGATCTTCAAAGGGCCGAAGGGAAGACGTCTTTGAGACATACAAAGAAAAAGCAGGCATTTCGTTTTCCTGTGACAAGGTTAAGTTCTCATTCAGCCGCTGCGCTACTTGAGTATGAAGGATTTGGAGATCTGCTGCCCGCAGCCCCAGAAGATGGTCCAGGGTTTCTTCTCCAATGACCTCATGCCTGTAAAAAGCCCAAGAAGAGAAAGGATCGTGCTGCATCAAGGATGAGGGGGTGGGGGTGGGGGTGGGGAACAAAATGGAAAGAACTGCTATGACCCAGGCACAAGGTTTGGCCAAGTAGCCAGAAGGGGCAGCGTCTGTCCAAGGGGGTTGTCCAGAGCAAAGGACATCTAGAAAAACACCATCATGGCAAAGACGGTGTGAGCTCTGTGGGTTGAAGGGGTGGGGGAGGGAAAGCGATACAGGAGCAGGAGGGGGAATGAAGGATGGAGTCCCCAAGGGAATTGCCGGGATCACCAAGGAACTGGGGAGAAGCGGTGAAAGAGAAGACAGAGCTAATAAGCTGGGATAATGAGAAAATGAGGGAAGGAAGGAAGGAAGGTAGGAAGGAAGGAGGGGAGAGATCAAATGGGTCAAGGGGAGAAAAGACAACCTTGAAGCTGGTAGCAGACGGACGAAGCAACAAACAACTTACTGCATCTCCTGGAAAGTATCTCGGCTCTGGATGAAGCTTAAGAGTGAACTCTTGGAGTGAATCCCAGTGTCAGTCATGAGGTTCTGGGCCTTATCCCTCACCCATTGGTCCTTGTCCATCAACCCTTGGGCCAGGGGTATGGCAAAGAGATGGGTCACCATGCCCAGGCGCTTCAGCCCTTCCCAGGCTAGTTCCCGGATCAGTGGATTGGAATGGGTTGTGTCATCCAGAAGGCGGTGGGCTGTCTCAGAGCGCAAAGAGGGAGAGACTTGATAGGCGGCAAAGATCTGACCTAGTGCCCCAACACAGTATTGGAACTTCAGTGGGTTAGCGTGGATCATAATATTGAGGATCGTCTCAATCAGGCTATTAATAGCAATCTCACTCATCTTTCTTCCCAGCCAACTGCGGTTTCCGGAGTCTCTCAGCACATTGTAGGTTATGTCCTTGGACATCCTCATTCCTAAGAAGTCTTCATCTTCTTTCTCTTTTGGAAGGTCCTCCACATCACTTAGTGCTCTTGACTTATTATACCAGAAAAAGAATTGAGTCTTGTCCCATTCCAAGTCCCGCTGGGGTGGGTGCAGGCTGCACTGTAGATATATTGGGCTGCCCTCTGGCCAAAGGCGGGCCCGGATCACTGAATTGGGGATGTAACCATCAGGGGCAAGGGGCCATTTCCGCCCACTCCCGAAGTAGTAGTGTAATATCCGGTAGGGGTTGAGCCCATCCCAGCCAGTCAGCTGTAGTTGCGGAGGGACCATGAAATGGGCATGGCGTTGTTGGCCCTTCACCCGCACTAAACGAAGTTCCTGAAGAGGCACAGAATCGTGTTTGTGGGTAGACAGCAATACGGGGCTTCCTCCTTCTTCCTCTTCTATGACATGCGGCACAGTCTGGTCAAAGGCAATGGCACGTTTGTTGATAAGACATGCCAAGCCCACTAACTCCTGTTTCCCATGCCCAAGGTAGACATACTTGGGCACAAACATGGTCTCAAAGGAGAAGAAGAAGCTCGGCATGAAAGGCTTAGGGCTCTCCACGACTTCGTCTGGGAGGCTCATGAAGGCCAGGCGGACCAGCATGTTCGGAGGAAGCAGTTTTAGACAGGACACCAGATAGAGGCTCTGGTTGAAAGTCATAAGCAGGTCACCCCGGTCGTTTGCAAAGCAGAGTGGGCCAAAGTGCAGCGAGGAGTCCAGCATGGCTATGAGTCGCCCGTGAAAGTCCCAGAGCCGGACAGAGCCATCAATGCCACCTGTGACAAAAAGGCTCAGGGACAGGCAGACATCAAAGGATGCGATGGGACACTGGTGTAGGGGCAGGGTCTCTATGAACATAGAGCCTTTCTTTGACTCGGTGGACAGGACGTCACGGAACTTCCAGAGGCGCAGGCAGTTGGTCTCCGTGATGGCACCCAGAGACTTGGGCATGAGTATCAAGTATTTTAGGCGGCAGCTGCTCAGGATGCTGGCGAGGGGCCGCAGGAGTACCCTGGTCCCATCGAGCACAACCTCCGAGAGGTGTACATAGTCATCCATTCCATAGGAGCACAGCAAAGAGCTTTCTCGGTCACCATAAAACCCTTGCGACAGAGTTGAAAGGGCCAAGATGGCCCCAAAGTGCACGAATTTCTTGATTCGGGCACAGCTGTGCTGGGAGAGTACCCTTATCACACCACTCTGGTGCCCAGAGAACATCAGCCCTTCGAGACCTCGGCCCAGGTGGAAATGGCCATAGGCCAGGCACTGTACTAGGTCCCCAGAATTTGGTGAGGTGCTTAAGAGGTACTTGGCTGGGCAAGGGCAGCGGGTGGTATCAAATACGAGCACCTCGGAGCTGCCCATTGCCACAAAGAGCTCCTCTCTGTCCGAGTCATAGGCCCAGTCCACTGCCTTGTCCAGGATGGAGAAGGGCCAGGTGAGGAGGAGGAGATCCCCTGTTTGTGGGCTCATGAAGCGCAACAAGCCATCCTCGGTTGTGCACAGGATCCGGTGCCAGTTCTCCCCGCAGCAAACCCGGCGTAGCTGCAGGGGAGCAGAGCCGCAGACGTTGAAGAGATTATAGAAGCTGGGGAGACGGCGCAGGGAAAAACTGTGGGTGGTCTGGCAGAAGAAAGTTATGTTATCAATGAACTGCAGCCGGCACAAGTCCTCACCGAGCTCTAGCCGCCGCAGCAGGCTCCCCGAGGTGAGGTTCCACTCCTTGATTAAGCCTTCGCTGCCAGCGGTCATCAGAGTGTGGGCCTCTGGCCGGCTGCAGATGCATATCACCGACAAGGAATGGGCCTTGAAAATGTGCAGGAAGCGACCCCGGCTGAGGTTCCACACCTGGATCTCCCCGCCCTTGTTTCCAGCATAAAGGAGGCCTTGATCAACGCAGGTGAAGCAGCAGGTGATAGACAAGCCGCTGCTGTTGGAAATGAACTTCATTGCCTCTCCCAGCTGGCCCAGGCCTTGCCGATCAAAGGCCCTCACCACTGTCTCACACAGGGCTAGGAGGGTGCCATGGGGGCCATTCAGCACGATGTCCTGGACGAGCTCATCACCAGTCATGGAAATGACATGGGCCACATAGAGGCCCTTGCCACTCCGCTCGATGTTCCAGGTGACCACTGCTCCCAGGATGCCTGACAACAGCATCTTCATTTCTGGGTCGTAGCAGAGGCAGCTGATGTTGAAGCGGCAGGGCACCACACCCAGGGGTTTGAATGCCCGAAAGTGGTCCCCAAAGAGCCGCAGGCACATGTCCCCACAGTAAGCCACAAGGACGTGGAAGGAGCCTGTGTGGACCAAGGCTTGGATGGGTGGCAACCGTTCTGTCATGGTAAACGTCCGCTTCTCAACCATGTCGTCGTCTTTGTTCTTCATCCAGACTACAGCCTGAAAGAGAGCCAGACGGAGATTGCCTCTGAGAGATCCCAAAGGAAGAAAGGGCAGAATGTTCAGCTACTGTTCCTGTCCTTGTGTTTAGGAAGTATTGGAAAACTCTAGGGAGGTTTTACCCCAGGGGTGATGGAAGGTGGCAAGTATGGGAGAAGCAGAGAGCCTAGGACTCTTTTGCCTTACTTTCAGGGGTGATTATTGAGCCCTGGTGGCATAGTGGGCTATGAATTGAGCTGCTAGTCACAAGCTCAGCTGTTCAAACCCACCATAGGCTCTGCAGGGGAAAGATGAGGCTGTCTACTCCAGTAAATATTTCGTCTTGGAAACCTAAAGGGGCCATTCTCCTCTGTCCCATAAGGTTGGTGTGAGTCAGAATCGACTCGATGGCAGTGGGTCTGTTCTATTTGGCATGGAAACTGTAGGGTGAGGGGAGAACCCTGGATCCACTTTCGTTCAAGGATGTGAATTCGAGGGGTGTGTTTGCCCTCATCCATCTGGGGTGAGAGCTGTGCAGGCATGGCCTCCATAGGACACCCTAAGGAAGGGAGGAAGAGCTAGGCCGTTGTACCTGTATTTCTTTCATGGTGTTTGATACCCAAGAGAGGGAGGTGAAGTAGTTGGCATCACTGAAGTAATGGCATATGAGTGGCATATTTTGAGGATGACGAGACTCCTTGAACAGTATCTGAGAGCGGTCACTCAGCACAACTACTTCTGTCTTAGAGTCATCTAGAGGATCCTGGGGAGAGGCATGGGAGGAACCAAGAGGCCATGATACACATGAACTAAACATATTCTCACACATGTGACAACTGAAGGTAGTGTCCAAATCCATGGGTCAGTAGCACCCTATGGATCATCCCCGTCACACGTGCACACATACAACATACCACCTCCACAAGGATGGAACAGAGCCCTCAAGCATGCAGAGACTCAAACGCCTACAGGGCTTAGGTGAACACATCTTAAGAGGGTGAGCATAAGCAAAACCTGATGTCCCCCACAACCTCAAGCCACACCTGCCTTAGCTATCACCATGTGTCTAAGAATCAACAACAACAAACAAACAACACAGACTCATTCATAGTGACCCTACAGGACAGAGTCGAACTACCCCGTAAGTTTCCCAAGGCTGTGTTCACAGAAGCAGGCTGCCTCATCTTTCCCAGGTGGACTGACTGGAGTGTTTAACTGCCAAATGAATGGTGGGCAATGAGCTGCCTTCACTGCAACACCACCAGGGCTCCTTACCTCTGTGTCTAAAGGGTGCATGACATCATGAAAGGAGCAACCTTGAAGGGATTTCCCAGGTAAATGTCACAGCCACATGTACGCCAGAAGTCAGTGCAGCTGTCAGTTACTCAACCTGAAAGCTACATGTAAGATATCCAGGACACAGCATCCACCCGTCGGGGAGCCCTGGTGGTGTAGTGGTGACTGGCGTAGTGGGGGGCTGCTAAGCTAGTGGTGAACAGTTCAAAACCACCAGCTGCTCTACTGTAAAGTAGATTTGGTTTACCACAACCTTTTCAGAGAAAAAGAAAGAAAAAATTATTGAACGCTCCCCGCTGGTAATGAAAAACATCTGTACTCTAGCCCGGGATAATGGGTAGGCATCTATCTGCTTTTGAACCCTGCTGGCACCCCACCCCCCACTGGTGTAATGATGATGTGTTGGGCTACTAACTGAAAAGTCCGCAGTTCGAAACAGAGGCTTTCTTCAACCCACAGGAGTTCTACCCTGTCCTAGAGGGTGACCAGGAGTCAGGACAGACTCCACGGTAGGGAGTTGTGTTGTTGTTGGCTTTGGTACTCAGGGGCCACCAGCGGGCAGTATTTCCCACTTTGGGAGACTGTCCTGGTGCCTGTTCTCATCTTTCAGGTCTCCTCCGACAGTTGAGAGTCTGAAGCATCCTCTGACGGATTGCTTCCAATGTGGTCACCTTCCCAATCAAAATGTCCTTGGGCCCCTTTGGACATTGATGGCCTTTATCCAGCTTGCCTCCCACTGTCGTGGAACACTGGTGGCTCTTCTCAAGTGTGAGACAGACTGTGTCTAAACCTAAGGTTTACCTGACTCTTGTTGATGATGTCATTCACAAGGTGCTTAAAGTCCTTCACCAGGGGAATGAGTCTGGGGGAAGACATCGTGGTGATCACCCCCTGGGGCCTCTTCAGAACCTGTTGCTTCAAACACCTGTGGGGATCCAAAACAGGACAGCTTAGCCGCCACTGTCTGTTGTCTTCCCTCCGGGAGGTAGGAGTCAAAAGGCAAGACCCACGAGCTCTGTTTATTGAACACCCTCCTTTGAATGTCAGGAATTAAGCCCAAGACATACGTGCCTCACCTCACTGCATCCTCTTGGCAGCTCAGTGATTCCATTTGGGAAATGAGAGCAACCCAGGCTCCAAGAAGGTAAATACTGCCTCGGCCTCCCTCGCTCCGGTGCTCAGCACCCCACCCTGTGCCTATGGGGCTTTTCCTGCTGTCTCCCGACACCCCCTCTTGAGGCAACAGGGCATTCCTTGAATTTATTCAGCACCTCCACCTGTAGCAAGGAGGCTTTCTCCATGATAATATGGCATCTCTGCCAGTGGCAACAGGTCTTTCCTGCTGTTGTTCGGCAGCCCCAAACATGGCAGTGGGTCTTCCCCCACCATTGTCCAGCACTCCATGCACAGAGCTATACTCGATGCCTGCAACCTCCCCACTTGTGTGCCCTGAGAGGCCCACCAGACCTGCCCTCCAAATTGGGAATCCCAGCTGTCTAAGGAGAGTAAAAGTCTAATGAGAGAAAGAAATAGTCCAATTCTCTGGCATAGTTGACTTTAGGCAGCCCACTGATGCATTCCTGACAGCCCCCAAAAGAGAGAGCCCAGGGCTTTTTGACTCCCTGGAAATGGCACCAAGCTTCTCCAAAATGACACACAGACAGCAACCACCCACAACAACCCAGACCAAGAAAAAACAAACAAACAAAAAAACAAACGCATTTTCAGAAGAGGTCCTGAATCTAGCGCCATGCATAGACCAAGCAGAAGTTGGGCTACCACAAAAAGAAATCTTCAGGTGTCTGTTTGGAGCCATACAAGACATGAGGGAAGCATTACACAAAAAGGATGAAACAATCGAGGAGATAAAGCCCACATACCAAAGGGAAACACAAGAGCTAAGGGACAAGCATCAAAGGGCAATACAAGAGTTAAGGGATGAAGTAACAAAAGCAAATAACAAGTTAATAGGCTTTGAGAACAGATTAGAAGAAGTTGAGAATCGTTTCAGTGACCTTGAGGATAACCAGGCAGACTCCAACAAATGGGAGAAACAGTCAAAAAGATAATCAAAGAAACAGAAAAAAACCTGAGAACAATGTCGGATGTTATGAATAGGAACAATATTAGAATAATTGGTTTCCCAGAACTAGACCATTCAAAGAAGTCAACAGCAAAAATAGAGAGGCAATTCCTAGAGGAAATTTTCCCAAGCTTAATGAATGAGAATCAGGCAACCATCCAGGAAGCAGAAAGGACACCACCAGCTTGACTGAATCCAAGGAAGAATTTGCTGAGGCATATAATATTTAAACTATCCAACTTTGAGGAAAGGAGAAAATCATGACAGCAGCTAGGGGGGAAAAGGTACCCAAATAAGAATATGCTCAGACTTATCAGCAGACACCATGAAAAGGAGCAGAGAGTGGAGCAACCTCTTCCAAAAGTTGAAAGAAAACAATGCAAACCCCAAAATCTGATATCCAGCCAAATTATCCATCAAGATAGACAGCAAAGTAAGAGTCTTCTTGGACGAGGAAAAACTCAAAGAATACATTAAAAGAAACCCAGCTCTACCAACAACAACAAAAAAATCCTTGCCGACCCAGTGTGATCAGAAGAACAACATTCACCAAGCACAAAGAGGAGACTACCTACCACAAAGGGCAACTCCACCCAGAGGTCAACACAGTGAAAACAGCCCCCAAGATAATATGACCTTAATGGGGGGGAAAGGGCAATAATGAACCACACACTATTTGCACAATGCACTGATAAGGGGTGTAGGAAAACACACAAAAGGTACAAGATGACATCACAGAGTCCAATGATGGATGTTATAACTCTGAATATCAATGGTCTGGACTCACCCATTAAAAGACAGAGATTAGCAGACTGGCTTAGAAAAGACAACCCATCAATCTGCTACTTACAAGAGGCACTTCTCAAGCTTGCAGACAGAAATAGGCTGAGAATCAAAGGTTGGAGAAAAATATACCAAGAAAATGGCAATTCAAAAAAGCAGGGGTTGCAATCCTAATCTCTGACAAAGTTGATCTCAAGGTACAAGCCATAACAAGAGATAAGGAGGGGCCCTATATAATGTTCAAGGGATCAGTAGACCACGAACCAGTGAACATAATAAACATTTACACACCCAATGAGAGACCCGTAAATTTTGTCAACCAAACTCTCCAAAAGATGAAAAAAGAAATCACAGGCTCAATAATCATAATAGGTGACTTTAACACACCACTCCCTGAGAAAGATAGATCCCAGGGAAAGAGGCTTAATAAGAATGCTACAGAACTAAACTCTACAATTAGACGACTTGACCTGATAGACATTTTCAGAGCTCTCCACACAAACGCAAACAAATTCACATTCTTTTCGAGCCCACATGGCACATATTCAGATAGACCACATGCTGGGATATAAGTAGAGCCTATGTAAATTCAGGCACTTGGAGGTCACCCAGACTTCCCTGTCAGATCACTACACCACAAGGCTGGCAATGAACAACAGGAAGGGTAAGAGAACAAGGGCAAACAACTGGAGGATGAATAACTCTCTGCTGCAAAAAGAATGGGAATTGGCCCGGATCAGAGATGAAATCAGGAAGTTTCTAGAATCCAATGGGAATGAGAATACTAGGTGCCAAAACCTTTGGGACACAGCAAAGGTAGTTATCAGAGGAAGCTTGATAGCGATAAATGCACACCTGGAAAAGGAGGAGAGACTTATGACTGATATGTTGACACAAAACCTCCAGCAGTTAGAGCGGGGTCAATAGGACAATCCTGAGAATAGAAAAAGAAAAGAAATAATAAAATTTAGGGCAAAAATTAAATGAGTGGGAAAACAAGAAACTCCTCCAAAATAATCAATGCAGCAAAAAGCTGGTTTTTTGAAAGGATTAACAGAATCAATAGACCACTGTCAAACTTAACCAAAGAAAGAAAAGAACAAACATCAATAGTCAGGATGAGGGATGAAACGGGAAATTACAACAGACCCTAATGAGATTAAAAGGCTAATTACGAAGTACTACGAAGGCCTGTACTCCAATGAATTCAGCAACTTGGAAGACATGGACAAATACTTGGAAAAACAACCCCTCCATAGACTATCTCAGACAGACATCAAGAACCTCAACAGACCCATAGCAATAGAGGAAATAGACAAGGCTATCAAGGAAATACTGACTGAAAAAATCCCCATGGCCAGATGGCTTCACCAAATTCCACCAAGCAGTCAGGGAAGCTCTGACACCAATCCTTCAAAAACTCTTTCAGAGCATAGAAAAAGATGGCAAACTCCCAAACTCTCTCTATGATGCCAGCATAACACGGATACTTAATCTTGTGGGCAAAGATCCCACAAGAATTGAGAAATTACAAACCAGTATCACTAATGAACATTGATGCAAAAATCCTTAACAAAATTCTACTGGCCAATAGAATACAAATGTTTATCAAACAAATAATTCATCATGACCAAGTGGGACTTATTCCAGGGATGCAGGGATGGTTCAACATCCGAAAGTCCATCCTCATTATTTGGCACGTTAATAAGAAAAAGGATAAAAACCACATGATAATATCAATTGACACAGAAAAAGCATTCAATAACATCCAACACCCATTCCTGTTTAAGATGCTCAGCAAGATAGGAATGGAAGGGAAATTCCTCAATCTAATACAAGCTATATATGGCAGTCATGGGAAAAAGACAAAAACAATCCCACTGAAAAAGGGGACCATACAAGGATGTCCCTTGCCCCCGCTGCTATTTAACATCGTACTGAAGTTCCCAGATAACAACATAAGGCAAAGGAAATACATCAAAGGTATTCATCTGGGGGAAGAAGAGGCGAAACTATCGTTATTCGCAGATGATCTGATTTGGTATATGAAAAACTCTAAAAGCTCCACAAGGGGAGTACTGGAAGTGACAGAGGAATATGGCAGAGTGGCAGGATATAAGATCAACAACCAGAAGTCTATAGGACTGCTATATACATCGAATGGGTCCATGGAAGAGAAGATCAAAAAGGTAGTTCCCTTCACAATAGCCAAGCACAAATTGAAATATCTAAAGATATACCTAACCAAACAAAATCAAAAGATTTGTATGAGGAGAACTACAGAACACTATTAAAAGAAACCAGGAGTGACCTCCACAAATGGAAGGATATCCCATGCTCGTGGACTGGAAGACTTAATATAGTTAAGATGTCAGTCTTGCCCAAGGCATTATACAAATTTAATCCTGATACAAATACCAGCATTCAAATAATTGGAAAAACTACCAATTTCGTATGGAGAGGAAAGAAGCCCAGAATTAGCAGAAAGCCTCAAAAAGGACAGAGTTGGAAGGCTTGCTTTACTTGACTTTAGTATCTACTATACAGCCACAGTGTTCAAAACAGCATGGCACTGGCATAATGATAGCTATTCAGACCAGTGGAAAAGAACTGAAAAACCCCCAGAAATGAAATCATTGGCATACAGACAGCTGATCTTTCACAAAGTCCCCCCCAAAATCTAATGGAAAACAGATGCCTTCTTCAACAAGTGGTGCTGGAAAAAATGGATATCTACCTGCAGGAAATTGAAGCAAGACCCATACCTCACTCCATGCACAAGAATGCATTCAAGGTAGATCACGGACCTTAAGGTCAAATCCCAAACCCTTAGGGCTATCAATGAGGGAATTGGGATAAACCTAAGAACTCTGGCACAGGGAATACACAGGCTATTGGAAATAAGGAAGGACACAAACAGAGGAAGCACACATTGACAAACGGGATATACTGAAAATAAAACACCTGTGTACATCGAAAGACTTTGCCAGAGAGTAATAAGAGAGCCCAC